GTGGTTATAACGAATGTTGTATCACCTGCTGCGTTCAATCCAGGCTGCTTATAAAACTGCGTAGCTATAAGGAATTCTGTAACTGTAACCTGTTTTTCACTTACAGAGCACAACCACATAATGTGCAATGCAATTAATTACATTTTATTAACTATTGTAAGTCAACACCAACCGTAGACTCTCAAACCCAGTGTAACATTAACTAAATAAAACAGTAACATTACATGATCAATAATAAACCTAGTAACCTGTTTTTCACTTACAGAGAGCCCAATGTAGCCTAATAAATCTACAATTAATGACAGCTTAACTCCTGTAAGTCAACACACCACAGACTCTCAAACCAGTGTAATGTTAACTAAATAAAACTGTAACATTACCAACAATAAGCCTGTAACCTGTTTGCAGCCAGCATTAATAATTAACGCTGATGGCAGTGAGCGGGACAAAAATAATTACGTTAATCATTCATCTTTTCATAACGAATGATGATGGAGTATGTTAAACCTCCGGTAGGTCGTAGCTGAAGCAAGAAGCAAGCTAACGTTAGATGGCCAATGCTGAGCTGGTGGTGTTTACTCACCACTGGTTACTAACCTATTTTGCGTTCAGCGCTTTCTTGTTTGGGCCTTCTTGTATGAAGTTTTAAAGCCAAAGTTGATGATGAATGGCACATCAGCCGCGTGGCCGCGCGCAGCCTATACTACGTGTTTCGTAATGGAGGGAGAGGAGCAAGATCATCAGATGTTTCCTAAAAATAAACATTGTTCACGAGCCCTGCACCTCGAGTCCGAGTCGAATCTGAAGTCCTTTGAGGACGAGTCTCAAGTCGAGTCTGAAGTCAATGTGTGTGCGTCTTAAGTCTCAAACTGAAGTCCCCGTCTCTGGCACGACCACACTGCCTTCTATTTAGGCTGTGTATTTACTGTATTTCCTTAAATTGTGATTTGAAATTTAAACTCTGCAGCAAAACAAACACACACCTTACCTTCTCTAGTGTGTTGCACGTTCCCATGCACTGTATTTACCGTCTCTCTCGCACTCACTGGCTACTGGCTCACCGACTGCGAGGAGATATTCCATGGATTCAACAAAAAGTTTGTTTATTTCTCATTTACAATTTTTAATTCAATATACTTTTTGTGTACATCAACTTACTCTGCTAGCTGTCTGTTCTGTGTTTTTCCGGAAAAAAAATTCACAGCCTTGCCTCTGAAAATTGGAAATAAACATAGCGACTCTGCATGTGAACATACCTACTGTATCTAGCACACGGGAGAGGGTTGTGGTTGGTGGAACCTCAGTACACCTTTCCCGGTGAGACTGACCACGGAGCAGCTTCACAGGACAACAGCTGTAAGAATTTAGCATTTGGAGATAAACAAATTAGTTGTTATACATTTTGTGAGGAATACACAGGGTTAACGTTGTGAATGTAAAAATGCACAAATGTACTGAACACTGTGTGTGGGCATGTGCGGGTATATGCACCATAGACTGTGTAAAAAAAAAAGGTATACACTCATTCAGTGTTATACAGCTCTGAAATAAATCCTTCCTTCGTGAGGATTATAATGAGTCTTTTTGAGTCATGGTATAATTTACACTGAGAAGTGTTCCAAATATTTAGTCCATCCTATACATACATATAAAAAAGTGCCTCTGGCACAGCAATTGTGATTCCCTTTTGAGAAAAACAGATGTTTTTTATTTAAACACACTTTTATTGCAATCCCCATCTGCTGTCTCTGACAATCTGAAGGCACTTGTTTGTTTAGAATTGTAAACACGGGTCAGTCATTGTTTCAATGAAACCCCTACCAAGATGTGTTGATATCAAAAGTCACCAGTAGATGTCACTGTGGAGACGAGTGTCAAAGTGTTTCGAAGCCTCGACACAATTCCGGCACAATTGCTTCAAACGTATCAATGTTTCACAAAGCCTCGCTTTGCCCATCACTATGGGCAAACCATGTGACTACTGCAAAGCCAGACTTTCAGTACTATATTCATATTTAAACAAAACTCACCTTTTTGACTTCAGGTTCTCTTGAAGAAAACAGAAGAACTGTCCTGGTTTGTCCAACACTGACATGTGGATGAAAACCCCTGCAGGACTGCTTAGGAAACCCCATTCTTAGCACACTTGAGTTGGCTCAGCTCCAACTACAATTTCAAAGTTGTGCCACCATAAATTTTGCATTGAGACTAACTTTATACAAGAAATGTAATAAAGTTAGTTGAAGAAACTATTTTAACAAAGTTTACAATGCCATTAAGTATTTTTTGTTCAGTTTAATCAAAAATCTAATTAAGATGAGCAATGTTAGCAAAGTTTTCATTTTTACAGTGTTGGGTGGAACCAAGGCCAGGGTCGTCAGGAGATGTGATGCTCACTGTTCAGCCTGGCTGAGATGTATTTAAGAGGGCTGCCAACTCTGCCCACTCTCTCTTTTGCTTCCCACAGCACCATGCACCACTCCTGGGACACGCCAGCGCTTCATTTTTGATCTATTATGTAGTTTTTCCTTTTGCACTCACTACATTTTACACTCACCCATCCACTCATGGCACTCCTGATAATACTGATTTTCAGTTTGCCTTGAAGTTTATCTTTATGTTTAGTTGGTACAATAAAACCATTAAGCGTGTTATGTGTTTGTGTGAGCTTCCTCTCTTTGTTACAAGCAGAAGCAAACTTGTAACAACAAAAACAGAAGTACCAATAGCTAATATATTAAACAGACAGCTGTTTTCTGAGGAAACGCTCTAAAAAGACGAACTGCTCAGCCTCGCTGGGGCCTCGCCCACGTTAGATGCTTCTGCTTTAGCTCAGCTGTCGCAGTTTGCAAGTAAGTTGTTTTGGGGCGACCTTGCTTCATTTTCCCTGATTCCATCCTAGTGCAACCTTTGGGATTCGGCCATTCTGAAGACATACCCTTGCCATCGGATTCAGCAGCGTTTGATCTCCAGCACCATACTGATGCATTTAGTTATCTTGTGAAGCTGTTTATTTGAGATCTGGCCAGAAGAATTTTTCTGAGGAATCCATTGTGGAAGACATCTTTTTCATGTTATGTGTAACTCTCCAGCATTCTGTTCAACACAGCATCATAGGTTTTATATCGCTGTAGAGTCAGATCTTTGTTCTTAGGCTGTGCTGCTTTGACTTCCAGATAGGCTTAGGCCTTGAAAAAGAACCACGAGCCTTCCCAAGACTAGCCCTGATGTCCTTGTGAACAGCTGGTGAACACAGTCGAGCATGTAGCAGCTAAAGAGCCAGATATTTTTTTAATAGTTAGTAGAGGCCAGAGCTACTAGATGAGTGAATTTTGGACCCATCAGGTGGGCTAAAATCAACCGCGTAAATTGGGGTTAAGAGGTTGTGTGTTGATTTCATGTAATTCTTTGAGATCTGGTTGGCCAAAACATGAGTCCAAATGAAAGCTAATCTGCTCTGCCTCTGTTGAATGATAATGTTTTCACCATATCAACTTTAAAATGTGATAATACTGCCCACAAATGTCCAGAAAAAAATCAGGCGACGGGTGAGGCAGCTTTTAAAGTAAATGACTGTGAAATCACTGAAAGGTAACCTTATTGTAGTGTGTCTAAAAATCTGGACTCACAGGGAGTCCATCAGGGATCAACATTTCATCATACTCTCATAAAGACTATTGTACTTACACCACTTAGTCATCTGACAGCTACTGTGTGTGAAGTAAAAATGTATTAAAAAAGAGTATTATGACACTAGATTTTTCAGACACCTTGCAGAGTGCTGAGCCATCACGCATCTTGCGATTCCTTCCCTGTGACTGTCTGTTTGCTGCCGTTAGAAATTCCTGAGTGTTGCTCCAACTTTAGAACAACACTGCTGCTGCTTGGCTGCGACTCTGAAAGGACATAGGAACTGACTGGAGGAAAGGAAATGCTGAGTCTGTTCCTGGGATGCCCAAACCCCCACACAACCAAACAGAGAGGGAAACTTTAGGGGGAGAGTTTAGGATAGAAAGAGTGTACGTCGGCAAGAAAATACACTAGACTTCTTTGGTTATATTTGTCCAGCTTGTCTTTATGTAAGAGAGTGAGTACAATATAGGCCTGTATCGCGCTCTCTCAGCCCATTTAGTGATTTGGTAATGGAAGGAGCTTTATCTTTAAAACTGCATACTTGTATGTAGGAATTTGAATTGATATGTAGATATACAACCTGCAGCATGAATATAAATCAAATAAGTAAAATCATAAACAGAATCCTTATGATAAGGGTTTAGGCCTATCAGTGCAGCAGACATGTCATTAAAGAGTTTGAGTTAAGTGGACTGCAAATACATAGGAAATGTAGCGAATGTAACTTCAAAATAAGAGTGCTGTATAACTGTTGTAGTGCATTTTCTAGCCCACGGCACACCCTTCACTACTGTTACCAGACAGGTGTTGTAACAGGTGTTGCACTCAAGGTCATGGGAGTTTTAGGTACTGATTTGCAAAAAATACCAAAACAACCAAAAAAATGAATAAATAAAGGAAATTAAAATAACCACAGTTGAAATGATAAAGGCAAAAATACCAGCTTCTCCCAAAGTTTTACTTCTTAAAAGGAAAGTCTAAATATTGATTACACAACAAAAATTCTGATACTGATAAAATTCTGGTGGGAAAATACTGACTTATTATTATACTTATTTGAGTCATAATGTTTTGCAGATTATTGTTAATGTAGCCTACCGTAGCCTACATAAAACAAATATAAGCCTATTTATTCAAATAGCTAATAATAATAATTTTATATCTTCGGCCAAAGACAAGAACGTTTCTTTTAATTTTGACCTCACTCTCTATGTGCTTTGATTTGGATATATCTATTAGGCAGTTAAACTGGGTCAGGTGAGGTCAATGAGACATTTATTTTGAAAAGAAACACCAGGACGGTTAGGTGCTGTGGTCAGCTCAGCATCAGGTTGAATCAGCTTGACACTCATTTATCCTGTCCTGGCAGAGGTTTTGTAGAGACACGTGTGGACTGACTAGACTGTGTGGTTGTATTGGACATGTCAGCCAGGTCGGACCGGGACACTGGCAGCCGCGGGGGTCGAAGGAAGATCTGTACAGACGGCCAGCAGCACCGGGAGGTGGCTGAGAAATCACACCGACATAGGAGACTGGGTATCTGTATTAATAGTATAATAGTTGTACAATAGAACTTCAGAGTCAGAGCGATGGAACATGTTGTAAAGTACCTAATTATTAAAGTCATAGGCCTAATGCATTACTACATCTCAAAAGAACTTTCTGACATGTGTCTCTGTATGATCTATTTAGTTTTTATAGAAAACTGGATTAAATAGCAGGCGGGACAGGACATCTCTGAATGAGAGCTTCTCCTGAGATGTTGAGGAATCTCCTTATTCGGGAAAAACAGCAAGTTTTCTCCTGTATCGAGATATAGGCTAATCTCGAGAGAATTACCTAGTTCATTTTCTCAAGTGAATTGCATTTTGTCCTTCCGCAAAAAATAATCGAGGGTCATGTTTGGTAATGAAAAAATACTAAACATTAGCTTATCCTCTCTGATCTCATTTAACATCCTTAATTTAAAGAATCAATCAAAGGGTGGCTTTCATGTGTTATGCTACATTTTAAGGGTTCTTTTTATGTCTGGCCGAGAATCCATTCAAAATATCTTAAAGACCCCTTCCTGTTTTAAAACAAATGAAAATATTTTTGTAATACCTAAATTACATTATTAGTAAATTAGTGAAATGTTAAGGTAAAAAATACAGGGTTTAGTTTAATAGTGACAGTCACACCTGGATGCTCAACACAACCAGCACTGGGGCCGTGGGGGTTCAGTGGTGGTAATGATGGAGGCGACTTTACAATGTCAAGAAAAGTGCTTTGGTCTGTTTTCAGGTTGAAAGCATTTTACTGTAAACTGTATTTGCAGTTCATAATGTGTTGATTGCCTTTCTGTTACTGTCCTGTTTTGGAAAGACATTTATTTGATGCTGGATTGAGGAAAGGGGGACAGTTGGTTCTGTTTCGGGGCTTCAAGGCTTATGTCTTACAGTTGAAGACACATTTGTCTTTCAATATCAGTTAGTATTCTGTGATAGTTCTTAAAATAAAAGTGAGCCACTTGAAATGTCAAATGTACAAAAGGCTTATGTGGTTAAGTGTGTGACTTCACTGCTCCTTCATATTTTAACAGTTCACGGTTTCTCCAGAGATGCTGCAAGTCTGATGGGAACTCTGTCAACATGTGAGGACAACTTCCCAACAGGTACCCTGAGAACAGTGGTGCGGCTGAGAAATTTCTTCTTTTTGCTGCTGCCGTCAACGTTGGTTGGGCTCTTCACCTTTTCGGTCCATGTTAAAATGCTGACACACTAAAGTAAGATGGTAAACATTATACCTGCTAAAAATCAGCAGAAAGACATGCTGACGTTAGCATGTAGCTCCAAGCACCACTGTGGTCAAGTACAGCTTCACAGAATTGCTCAGTTGCAGTTTTTTTGTGTACAGAATGTGTTATGTTAACCCAGAGGTGAAAGGAGAGGGAAAGTTAATGGCTAATCCATCTGGACAGAAATCTCATGCGGGCAGTGAAGGGTTGGCTGCATTTCATTAGATTTGGATATTTGTTATGTTTGTGAGGAAACATTGCTTTTAGTAGTACTGCACAAGGTACATGTGACCTGTTAAATTGTGACCTCAGTGAAAAGTCATGTGAGAGAATTTGTAGTAGTTTATACCTTGAAGCTGTGAGTTCCTCTAAAGTCACTTATTGAGTCACTTATTTGTTTTTTTAATATGAAAATGATGATGCCCATATCAATGATGATATGGGCATCATCATTGACTCAAAATGAGTTTTGCTTAGTTTGTATTTTAAGGGTGTGTGTGGTTTGGTGTTATTGTTAACATCCATCTAAGCATTCTAATTTCACTTATCAAATAATATAAGTTGTTAGTCAGAAATGTTAATATTGTGAATTTTAAAATGCTTTAGATCTTTCATCATTTAATAATGTTAATATCTTACTATTCCTTCTTTATTTAAACATGTTGCTTTGTGCTTTCTGTCCTGAAACTTCCTGAAAATCTAAAATTAGTGTGTAAGAGGATGAAGGAAAAACTTGTTTCTCTCTGCAAGTTAAAGCTCGTAACAGCAGCAAGGACTGTGGTTCTACAAATGGAACCTTTTCCTGAAAAACAATTATATTAATAGGAACCTTTATTGTTAGACTGGATTGTGCATCTTGTTTTGTTACATCAGTTAAGTGTTTTTATCATAGCAGCAGAAACTGCAAATTAGTAAACAGTAACAAGAAAGTCTCATCTACCTGCCTTTGAGGATGGGGCCATGACTCCAGTGCTAAAACCACAGTTATAAAACTATGAAAAATTGTTAATGTGAAATGCAAGTGCTCAATTAAAAAAGATTTTGAAAAAGTATTAAAAAGTTTGATATAGATATTTTGGCCAGTATTCATTTTTTTTAAGAGACACCTAACAAAACCTTTTTAAATGCTTTGAATAAAAGTGGTTATCAAAGAACTGTGGCCATGTTATATCATGAGCGGGGCATTTTACGTTGTAAAGATAAACTGATATGGTGTGTTCTGTGTTCAGCTCTGCCCATGCGGTTGGATGTGGTCAGGGGTCCTGAGCGTCTTCCTGCAGATGAGGAGTCACAGGAAATGCTGAGAGGAAAACTGCGCATTCTGCAAGCTGACAGCACCGAGGTCACTGCTCTATTCATGGTACAGCTCATGACACACACACACACACACACACACACACACACACACCTGGCTGCCATGCCTATATTTAGCTCCTGGAATTTAAAGTTGTAAAATGTCAACTTCCTCCATAAATTGTGAATGAATCAGCATGTAAAGATGTCTGTCTTTCTGTCAAATTTTAAGTTGTGCTGCTTTAAGTTTTGCGTTGATGTAAATGTAAAATATATCCCTTTAGTAGTTACAAGTTACAAGTGTCATCCTCCAGAGAACAGTGGTTGTCGTCGACTTTGATTTGTGTCATCGTGGATTATAAATGTAAGTTTTTACATCAGAAAATGTTCAGAGAACCGTCTGAAAAACCATGCTCTCATGGTAAATTCTGGCAAGAAAGCAAAGGTACATTGGTGCACTGGCATCAAAGTTCAAGATGCAATTGGCCCAATTAAAAAAGTGTGTACCAGTTACAATTTGAGATGAACTCAATTCTCACATCTTTGCAGCAGAAAAATCCAATTTCTTTATATACCATCATTAGTAGAATACCTATGCCTTTATTGTTTCGAAACGTGACCAATCATTTGGTATCGAATTAGTTACATAACATTTAGACTGATTCCTCCTGAAGTGTTTCTCTCCACTGCTGCAGAGGCGTGTCACTTTAGAATAACATGGAGGAGGAAGAGCTACACATTCCTCCCAATTCCTACAAATCAACAAAGTGTTTGGAGAAACTGGATTTTTCAAGAGAGACAAAAAGCATGCAATTTGCAAAATATGCAGTGTATAATTTACACTGCATGCTTTTTGCACGACTAACCTAAAAACTAACTCACCTGAAGGGGCGACATGGTGAGAGCGTGGAAACGTCTGCCTCCTTCTCCCCCTCGGATTCAGGGCTAACTAGCCCCGGTGGTACCACTAGCAAGACTGGTGAGCAAAGTCCTGCAACTTCCTGAAATAGTTTTACTGTCTGGAAACCTCAGAGCGACACCATCATCCCATTGAGAAGATCAAATACTTCTTCTCCTAGTAGTGAAGGACTTCTAGGTGACATTAGCACTTGCCTTTAGATAAGAGGTGTCTGTGAAGCAGTATCTCATAGGGTTCAATGTATTAAATCCAAGGGAGGCAGAATTGGGCCAGGTATTGTAATACCTGCAGCATAATCTACTTTCCCATCATGCAGCCGCACTGTCTGCTCAGCATGTTCCAAACTCATATTTAAAATTGTTTCAATAATATGGCTAAATGAAAACCTTCCATGTGTGACTCATCTCAGGAAATAATTGTTCAGTAATGTTGGTTCATTGTATAGTGTTGGCACTACAGCCATTAGTGCAAAGAACATCTTAAGGACCAGTTATTGCAAAATATTTTAAACATAATTAGCAACTGGTTGGTGAAGCTTGAAACAAAAAATGACTTTATTATAAATATAAAATAAAGAAATATTTCTTTAAAAAGCTTTACCTGCACACAAGAAAAAAACAATATAGAAGTTATTAAACCTTTTCCTTTTCTCTGTCTGTAGGAGCTGTCGACTCATCTCATCTCCATCGACAGTGAAGAAAACATTCTTTTTGTGACGTTCAAAACATTTGAGGAGCTATGGAAGTTCACCACATATTACACAATAGGTAGGTTTGAAATGCTCTCAAGTGGTAAGTAACTGCGACTTAACCTTATTTATTAGGAAGGTATATTTTAAAGCTATTAAGCTTCAGAACTGACTTTTCTGTGCTATGATGTACTGAATAGAACAATAGCACAAAACTGTTACTTTGTTACTGCTAGTGCTACTACTGCTATCGTTGCAGCTAGTAAAAATGATGCCAGTAGATCCAGTTCAGGATACAGTTGGATTCATTCATCACTACCTTTGTCCTCACCTTCCCTCCTCCAGGTTTCCTGGGTCAATGTATGGAGAATCTATTGTTAGACCAGAAGTTTTGGCTCAGTTCTTTGGAGGAGAACATCGCTATTGAGGTTTCTATTCAGGAGGATACTCTTAACCGTATCTACAAAGGCATCCTCATGCAGGAAGGTAGGTGATGGAATTCAGTCTTTAGAGCTGCTCTGGCTTGTGCTGCCTTACTGCACACATGGAGGTGCACTCGTCCTTAAGTGCTAATGTAGCTACAGCATTTATAGCCTTGAGCGGTTGCTGATAAAAGGCGGAGAAAGTGGAAAACATTACTTCCAGTATTTGGCTAAATAATCTTCAACCAGGATCCTTCTTTTTAACTTTGAGTATTAAAACTGAACACGGACATTTAATTGTTCTTCCTTGGCTCCAAAAACAATGACTTTTGTTTAATTGAAGAAAATTCTGGCACATCAAACCAAATGTTGATTTGTTCAATGCACCTATATAATCTTAAATGGGATTATTGTCCCCTGGTGACATGGTTATGTAAATCTGTGTGTCATCTGCATAATTATGGTAAAAATCTGAGCCAGTGGAAGCATGTAGATGTTACACAGAAGAGGCCCCAGAATGGAGCTTTGGGGAACTCCACAAGTCATTTTTTGTCATTAACCAGATATATAGTCCCTGTTCTTTAAGTAGGATTCATATCAGTTTAGCACTCTGCCAGAAAGTCCCACTAGACTACCTGGAGAACCTAGTAATGTGTTGTGGTGGACCGTGTCGAGTGGAGCACTGAGATCCAATAAACCAAGACTGACTGTGTTTAAATTGATGTCATTGAAGACCTTAACACGAGCTGTCTCAGTGCTGTGGTGTGGTTGAAATCCTGACCGAAGGACACCAAACAGTTGTTTAGTTCCAAGAAGTTGTTCAGCTGTTGAAAAAAGCTTTTTCAATGATTTTATTCAAAATGGGATGTTTGATATGGGCATATAATTGCTCACTAGTGATATGATTTTTTAAGAGTGGCTTGATGACTGCAGTTTTCAGGGCCTGTGTAAAGAAACTTGAGAGAAGAGACATATTGACAATTTGTAGAATATTTAAGGCCATGCAGTCATAAACATTTTTTCAATCTTGACGGCTGCACGCATACCGACCCAGAGCTCTCTCTTTATTTGTTACTATAAGCTGCTAATTAGAGATGAGATTGCTCCAACAGAATTTTATTGCATGAACGCATGCAATGACAATAAAGATCAAACTACTCTCCAGAGCGTGTTTTGTCACTACACTGAATACGTACGAAAAACAAGCAGAAGTAGTAGCAGTCGTCTGGTTTATTAGAAGTAAGAAGAGAAGTGAAATTTGGACAAATATTTAAGTTCACAGAGGGTGTCGGCCACTGTAGCTTCTCCTCCATGCTTGGAAAGGGAGGGGGGAGCAGTGACTGCATTTATGTGGTGTCGAAATAATAAGAATTTTGTTTTCCTCCTTAAATCTTGATTGCAAAAACAGGAATAAAGTGTACATGGGACATAAAGAAGTATACAGAACAGTATACAAATATGTAAGAAGACACTCACAAAAATATTGCCAGGGGGTGTCTCTATTATATAAATATAAAAAGAGGACTATATATAGACAGGTTTCATAGCCTTTTTGTTGTTGGATTTAGAAATGAAATATATATAATATACAACCTCATGGAGAAAAAGTACAAAGTTAGGTTTTTACTGCTGAATTTACAGGGATGATCAGAGAGGGCAACATCACCAAAACCTTGAAAATGTTCAGAGCCTTGGTGATGAATAATTCCAGAGTTGCCCCTTTTTGTGTGTGGGCTCCGTCACATGCTGAATCAGTCCATAGTTATCAAGAACACAACACAGTTATTTAGTCCCTCTGTCCTGAGGGTTGTCAACATGGATGTTAAAATCACCAGTAAAAAAATTATTCCTTAAAAAAGTAATAATATTACTTTACTTGTTACAGGGTGATAAAAGTAACTAGTTACGTTACTCGTTGTGTTACTGTCACTGTCACATTACTTTCACTACCACCTCCACACATAAAGGAATCTCTCCCGACTCCCGACCATACTCCTCGCTCATAACAGCAGCTAGGACTATGGTTTTTTACTAAGCATATATCTTCTCTTAACACCACTGGCTGAAATAAACTCTTACTCTCTCTATGTGTCCTCAGGTTCATTGTTTGCTAGTTGCAGTACCAACCAGATGTTTGACAGCTTCACATCTGGAGGTGACCTGTACCTGGAGCAGGGAGACATAGCCCAGTTTGAGCCTCCCTTTCTGGGCTCAGGGTGGACCGTCCTCTGCCTGGCTGATGGAGCCAGAGGCACTGCACCCAAACCTGCTCTTGAGCCAGTCATCCCTTTTCATCAGTAAGTCACATCCACACACAGGGTCATGTGAACTTGCTGAGACCTGTGACCGGTCTCACTGTTCTGTGCCCACACAGTAGAGTGTCTCAGATGTAATGCATGACTCCATGTGTCCACAGATGGTTTCTCAAATCCAGTGCAGAGAACATTTTTGTTGGTAATGGGAAACCTGCCTGTAACTTCCCTCTGCAGTTTGGTAAGTGCACAAAAATTTATTTAAGATAGATTCACCCAGAAATCCTTTCATAAAAATTCAACAAAAATGAGAGAAAATATGGGTATTTTATATCGAGGACTTGTTTTTTAAACTGAACTAAATCCACACATACACATAATATTTTCTACTCATTTTAGCACCACTATTTTAACTGCTTAATTTCATCAACATTTCAACTTTAAGTGTCAACTGTGAATCTTCAGAAGTGAGCACACATATTCTTCAGAAAATGCAGCCTTTTCTACCACTTACTCCACAACTGACAATTCAAGTGCTTTCAGAGGTTAGATATTAAATAACTTTTCAGCCGCTTTAATCTTTTACTCTATTAATGACAACTAAACTGTCAGTATTAACACACCAACTGGCAGTTTCACTGCTTTCATTTCTTATTCATATTCTTCAATGGAGTTTATCTGCTTTCAGTAATTACGATCCAACTTACATCTCAACTTCTTTTAATGCATACACTGTAAACTGTAAATGACACTTGACAAAAAGAATAAGTTATTCAGCTCTATTCAGTTGCACAACTTCACGGCACACAATCAGCTAACATTTCAACAGACATATTTCTTTTACTTTTCAGTTCTGGAAGTTCAGCTTATCATTTCAGCACATTCACTTCAAGTTTACTTGAAGGCTTATATTTAAGCACTTCAACTTAGTTAATCTTCAAATGAAACTATTACTATTAACTATAAATAATAGTCCACAATTACATAATTGTGAAAGAAATGCTATATGGAGTTTATGTGTAAAGAAACACACCAACTATGTTGTAATCTGTTACTAGGAATAATCATGGTCTAATGAATACAACAAACTAAAAAAGGAAATATGATCGTGGAAAAGTGAAAAGTTAAAATGGCGGTGCTCTAACTTGAAAGATGAAATTTAAAAGTATCTGCTGACAACCATATTGAAAATGAAAGTATGTGGGTTGCATAAGAGACAGAAATGATATTTTATGGTCAACGTATATAAAGAACAGTAAAATATCTTACTGAAAGTTGTTGGACATCTAGTCTCATTATATCCTTCTCCTTCAGCCAGAGGAACCTGTCTGGCCACAGTGGAGTATGATTCTGAGGGCCCAGATGAGCTGAGGATGGCAGCGGGTGATCGCATCATCATTGTGGGACTTCTTGTGTCTTGTTTTCATTGGTTCACAGGGAGGAAGGAGGCGACAGGTGAAGTGGGCCTGGTCAAGATAAGCCTGGTGGAACCATCCACTGACATTTACGAGTGAGTGTATCACTGTAGCACCATTATTACTGTGTTAATAATTTTAGCAAAACACACATTCACTTATTTTACAAGATAGTATATGATAGTATATGGAATTCTCTGTCACTCTTTCAGCTCAGCAGATATTTTTTTGGATGGAGAGGAAGGGACATTCTTCAGTCTGCAAGAGGACAAAGCCATAGAGGAAACAGTTGCCTTATTGAAGAAGAAATCTAAAAATGATATTGGTCATAATTATAAACTGGGTAAGACAGGAAGGCTGCAGAATGACTCACAGGTTGCACAGAGTACGGATATTATTATAGTTTCTATTACAATTACAGGTTTGGGAGTATGGAACATTTTTAATATACTCTGAAGCTGCTTAATAAATCAACATCCAATTTTATATTTAAAAAATAAATATATATATATATATATCATAGTAACTATATACAATAATAGTCAAGCTGAGGCTATGGAAGGCAGTACTTGGTGGTGCTTTGAGCTAAATGCTAATGTTAACATGGTAACATGCTCACAGTGACAATGCTAAAATGCTGGTGCTAAGCTGGTATAATGTTCACCATGTTCACTATCTCAGCTAGTGTGCTAGCATGCTAACATTTCCTAATTAGCACTAAACTCAAAGTACAGCTGAGACTGATGAGAATGTCAATAATTTTGCATGTATTTGGTTATAAACCAAAGTGATGATAGCACTGCATGAAAAGATAGAAAACAGCTTAGCTAAACAGTTCATCTTGCGGGGGACGTGTAAATGTATGTACCAAATTTTATGGCAATCTATCCAAGAGTTGTCAAGATAAAAATGTCAGCATTATGGTGGTGCTAGAGGTAAAGTCAAGGGATCACCAAAAGGAAGAGGAAAGCAAGAGTAAGCTTTGTAATGCGCTGGTCTTTTCCTGATTAATCAAATTAAGGTGTGTTGCTTGAATTATTCATGAGCTTTAATGAGTATCAAGGTTTTAGAGCATTTTCTCATTCTCTTTCTTGTACTTTTTGTTGTTCAATCTCAGATATGATCAGTTACCAAGATGCTGGAAAAAAAACATCACGTAAGTGTTGCCACCTAAATGTCTCTTTTATTTTGTCTTTGTATCTTGTCTCCACTTTATTTCAACATAATTTCCTCCTATTATTCTTTTGCAGTATGCTCTTTATGCAAAGCTGATACTCAGCACACTGACCTGAAGAGAAATATTCAGAGGATTCTTGATCAAGGAAAAGACTTGTCTGCAAATCCCACTGTCACCATGAGCAGGACTCTAGAGGACTCGGTCCAGGATAGGGAAGCAAAAAACCCAAGCCCTCCTTGTTTCACTGTTCACAAAGTTGTTGAACATAACAACAACACTGAGGAATTCATTCCCCTCTTCTGTTTTTTGGAGGGACAGGACTACAAAGAAGAGTTTGGCGTCCTGTACGGACTGAGTTCTGAACGCCTCACCTCCTCTACCTTCACTGGTCACTCTGACGATGATGAACTGATTGCTTTCCTGGGTGTTGCTAGGGAAACAGCCAGGAAGAAGCGACTCCTTTGGTCACAGACTCGTTTGTGCTTTCTTTTGGGAAAGCTGTGTGCTGGGAGGTCAAAGTTCAGCCAGGCCCGGGTTTACTTTGAGGAAGCCCTCAGTGTACCACGAGAAGCCTTTACGGACCTCAGGCTGTTGGCCAGCATTTATTCCAACCTGGCTGCCATATATCTTTTGCAAAAAAATACTGAAAGCTTCTCTGCTCTGACCGAGCGACTTGTTGCCTTGCTACTAGGAATTCCAGACTGCCTGAAAGGCTTAGAGGACAACTCTGCTCTTAAATACATCCTCAAGAAAGCTGTTCTCTCTCACAACAAAATGGCAGAGGCTCATGCTTGTCACCTCATGGCGAAGCACCACTGGACCCGTGCTGAAAGGGTTCAAGCTGTTCCTTATCTTGAGAGACTACTTGTTCTTTGTGTTGAAACTCAAAGAACATTTGGCCTCTCTCCCAGTCATGGATACCTGGTCTTAGGAAGGCTCTACAGCAAACTCCAACTTCCTCACCTCAGTGTCAGTTCAGCCAGGAGAGCTTCTCTGCAGCCCTCTGCTACACTGACTGACTGCCTCAGCTGCATGGTTCTAATTTGGGACAATATCAACAGGCTGTATGGGATCACAGAACAGGAAGCTTCCATCCCACCTCAAGTGGCTCCATATCTACACCAAGCCCTCTCTTTTACCAAAGTCAAAAAAGCAGGAAGTGACCAATACCATGTTTTAAACCATCAGCTTACTATTTGTCTTTGCCAGCTCTGTTACAAGCACAGAATGGTTGGACAAGCTATTTACCATTTGCATACTCTCATCAACAACAATCCACCTTCCCAGCAACTCCCCATCTCTGTTTCAGAAAGAAACAGTGCCCTAATCTGGCTGGCATGGCTTCACATTGACAACAATCAGCCAGATGTTGCTTTGGATATCTTGGACTTGGTCCTGGCTGCCATGCCAGAACACTGTACTACCCCTCAGGAAGGTCTGTGGGTTTCTATGGCTTAATGTGTTTTTAAAAAGTATAATTATTTGGGCCCCTGGGATTATTTTAACTAATATTTTAGTGTTATTATGTGCTGCGTTTTACTAATGCAGACTAGATCAGAAAAAACTGATGTTAAACATGTGATTGATTGAAAACAATATGCAGAGTGATGTGTGAACACATGTAATGTAAAAGTAAATGTGTTAATGTAACCCAAAGGTGTGGTCCTCAACATGCGTGGTGTGGCGCTTCGATGCATAGGTGACCTCCGGAGGGCAGCAGAGAGCTACCAGGCTGCTGTCAACATCTGCCAAGAGTATGAGGACATGCCAAATTGGGCTGTAGCTCAGGCTAACCAAGGTAAGATAGTATATGCTTCTTAACAGATGATTCATTTGATGGGCTTCAGCTCTGTGAGACGACTCTGTGCTTTTTCATCCTCATGAAGGGCTGTTGTGTCTGAAGGCTGGAGCTGCAGGTCTAGCACAGAGACACCTGACTGAGGCTGTGCAGCTCTTCTCTGAGCTAGATAAAGAAGGTCATGAGGCGAACTTCATCACAGTGCTGCTGGAGTTAGGACAGCACTATGTGAAGCAGCACCAGCTGGACTATGGGAAAGGATGCTACGAATGGGCACTGCTGGAAGCTATAAAAAGCAACCTGTTAGACTGTAAGTAAGGAAGTCACATATTGTTTGTTCTGATTTGTAGTGTGTGCTAAGGTCTATTTACTTTTGCTCTTTTCAATGAACTGAACTGGACTGTTACTCATTGCCAGGCGAGCTTGCTGCAACCAGACACCTGTGCCATCTGTATGGGTGTGAGAGTCCAGACCAGGCCCAGTGTATCATCTACAACCAACACCAGGTCCAGCTGCTGAGACGCACAGGAGATAGAGGACAGGAGGGAGACGCACTGGAAGCCATCAGCCAGCTCTACCTCAATCTGAGGACAGAAAGGTCTGTGTGTGAACAGAAATAAAAATGCAACAATTTAAATAAAACTCAATCAGGTCAGTTGCTAATTTGACGGTGTTGATGATCCATGGTACCTTCATAATTTTTATGTCATTTTACAGCATGGTTGTATATTGACATATAGTTTGAATTTAATGTTTGGAGCAAATAGGCCAATCTAAATCTATGAATGTTTTCAGGGCATACCGGGCAGCTCTCGACTACACCAAGAGCAGTTTGGGTATTTACATTGACCTGGGCTGCAGGGACAAGGAGGCATATGGCTGGCTGCAGGCTGGGAAGATCTACCACCTGCTAAACCAGACTGAACTGGTGGACCTTTACGTTCAGGTCTGTGAGCAGCTGTGTAGACATCTCAACTATAGAGAGCCGAAGTCCCTCCCCTTCTGGTGGACCACCATGGGACCTTAAGTGGGGAAAAAATATGTACAATGGTCAATGGCTAGAGACATATTTTTTGATCCCGTCTGAATTGTGCGCTGAATTACACATATGATGATGGTCAATTTAAAATATACATTTAAAAATCAAGAAAGTCACAGTTTGATGTAAAACTGTTGAAGTATAAGACTGTGAAAATACATAATTACAAAGACCACAAACCCAAAAGTCGTGTATGTGACGTCGTAACTTTTTCTCTCAATGGCTGAAGCTGACGTTACTGAAGCTAACGTCAAAGAACTTACATGTGTAGATGACGTGATGAAAGAGATTCGTTGGATTAAACACATCAGGTGAGATATATTTCTGCGTGGTTCAAGTTATCTAACTAGCAGCAACCAAGCAATGAACGTTAGCTAGCATTGTGTATTGTAACAAAAGATGAGAGATGTAGTTTACTGAACAAAACTAAATATAAATTTACTGTTTTACGACAAACTGCAACTTTCTTGCCGGACAAAATTATCTTTTAAATTGACAAACATCACTGTTCAAACAGGATCAAAAAATAAGTTGTCTCGCCACAGACTACCGTATATATTTTTTCCAAAATAAGGTTCCCTGGGCTGGAAGCGGAAACAAGTGACTTAAGCTCTCTATTTCACGTATATTACATTTTTGATTGTATTGTATTGTGAATTGTAAATTCTTAATCCAGATCCTTCCTCCATCTAATGCAAGCCCATTGCTGTAAAAGGGGCACAGAAGACACCCTAAAACCAATAAAACAATGGGATACATGTGAGATCGGCGCCTAACAAGAGTCGACACAAGGGAGGCTGTCCCTGTTTGTATTTCTCACACTTAAAATGGATTATCATCAGAGAAACAGTGAATTAGTCACTCTATTCCACTCTTAAGAAATGAAGTATACATCTAATATTAGCCATTTCTAGGATCCCTGTTGTGGGACAGAGTCAGGTCCAGACAGGAAGTAGCTGAGTTTTGATTTGAGTTTAATTCAATTTTATTTATATAGCGCCAATTCACAAGTTGAAGCCCGGTATTAAAAGCATTTGATTGGAGATGACCAGCAGCTTCCCACCCGACATCCACACACCGGATCCCACTCCTGTAATCAGGCACACGGACAGGGAGAGAGAGATGGAGAGAGAGACTTTCAACACTCAGTGCCTGTAGCCCCGCCCAGCTAAAAAATCAGCAGCTGCCACTGCTCACCATTCTGCTGCTCTCATCTTCTCTTTTTAACACAAATACTGTTTTCATTCACTAATATTTTCTGTTGCTTCCACTTGCTATCCATAGTTAGGCTTTGCAACTGCAAATAATTAGTGAATGAAAACAGTGTTTGTTAGGGGTTCACCAATACAAAAGGCACCCCATGTAATAATGATTGAGAATGTAGCGTATTCTGATAGACTAATAATGATTTTATTTTTTTTTTAATGTTACTGACGATCAGCCACTTTCTCGACGGCATTCCCAACAGCAAGGTTGCACAGATTTAAGGGCGTGGAAACAAACCACGCTTGTGGGTCATACGCATGTGCAGAACTGCTAAGTAGCACATCTCCTATCTCATCATAGGTAGCATAAATCGACAGAACACCGGCTCTCGGGAATCTACATTGACGTATTAGCCAGTCATCTTAATGGTCCCTCATGGACACCCTCTAATCCTTCCATTCGCTTTGTCCTCTGCAGTGCCATAGCGCAGCCATGCAGCATTAGGCATGAGTGTCACGCAGTATTTGTACTATTACACGGCTTATGAGGTATAGCGGGTTGCCCGCTAATTGGAAGATCAGCGGTCCAATACCCAGCTCCTACAGGCTGCATGTCAAAGAGTCCTTGGGCAAGATACTGAACCCCAAATTGCCCCTGATGGCTGTTCCATCGGTGTATGAACGTGTGTGAATGTTAGTTTCTGTTTGAGCACTTAGGCTCAGTGTATGAATGGGTAATGCGGTGTAGTGTAAAAAAGCGCTTTGAGTGGTTGGAAGACTACTTTAACTATCTTTATACCTAAATAAGAGAGAATTACATTTTAGCTGGTAACAGACAAGCTAGTCATTATGTATAAGGTAAATAGTAAAACATTTACATCACTCACATGCTCAGCAGACATACGCACTTTACCTTGGATTGAGTACAGTTGCAATGCAGTAGTGTTTTTTTCCGTGTCAGTGAAGCATCTCTTGATGGCTGCAGATAAGGTTCTCTTTATTGTTTTGATTCCATGGTCCTTGTCTATTTCTTTGGTCAAAAGTTGCTAAAGAATGGTCACAGCAGGAATTACATCTGATGCCAAAGCATCAGAGAAGCTCACTTTTCATGTAAACTCCTGAAACGGAGCAAGAACAGATTCTTTTCCAGAAGTGTCTCCTTATAGGCATGTTGAGCTGCATCTGAATATTTTCCAGGTGGGAGTAGGCAAAGGCAGCATGTTGAAAATGTATGTAACTATTTTACGTCCGACCGTATCAGTAACATTTCCCTGAGCCAAAAAAAACCTTGTTAACCGCAAGTGGGGGGTTGTGAGCGGCACACCACAGGCTACGGTGTCCAGCATCATTCATAGCCTTGATCATGTTTTTGGTGTTGTCCCGGAGCACAACGTGATCATAACTTTTCGGAATGCCCCACGTCTGAAGCATATCATCAAATGCTCCTGCTTGGCCAGCGTGTGAACCCCTAAACTGCTTTGCTTGTAGAACGACTCTCTGGGGAGTCATATTTCCAACAATCCACTGCACTGATGAAAGACATTGGGCTAACACTGCTTGTCCAAATATCAGTGGTGAAGCTGAAGACCGAAATGTCGTGCAACAAGTTGTTGATGGGCTTTTTTATAAAATCATCCAGCTTTGGCAATCCAGTTTCTGTAATGTGGTAATGGCTGAGGATCTCATACTTTGGCTTAAGTACACTAAGAAGATGATCTTATTATTATCTACAACGGTTGGTCATCAAAAGCAATGAACTGGGCTTCTGTTATTTTTACCGCATGTGGGGTGTCTCTGGTCATTTATTCTCGCTTCTCCAGCATTTGCTGCAAAGTTGGTTGTTGCTGTTTGCTAGCATTACCAAACTCCTTGGACTCAGCATCATGTTGGTTTGTTAGATATTTAATCAAATTGCTTGTGTTAAAGGAGCTATTTTCCACCCCTCTTGACAATTTAGCTGAACATAGTTTGCATTCTGCTCTACTTTTGTCATCATTGCGTATCTTAAAATATCTCCGAACTGCTGACATTGCTTCTCCTCCGACTACCTGCCCAGCTGACAAGAGGTTAGGCTAATGTCATGCTGCCATAAAGTGGTATTGGGTGTAGTTCTTTCAGGGTAATTGTACATGAGTACATGAGCACAGTATCGGACAGAGACCCAAGATCTGGTGCCGGCATCAGTGCATCCCTAGTATTTGTTTTTAACTGGGACCAGTAGAGTGGTGAATATGACATGACTCTGTGGCTGTACTGATGAACATTATGATGTAATTACCAAGTGAGCCAATATAGTACAGGTAGAGTAGGTAGGTAAAGATGAATTAAGGATTTCAAATTTGTAATTTATGTTGTGCTGCCTTTGAAAAATGAAAAGTTTTACAATGGAAACCTGTATTTTTGTTGATGTCATCAATAGGTATCTCAGGATGTCGCTCTGAGTACAGGAGACACCGGATTCATCCTGAAGCTTCTGGAGACTGCAGGAGATATTTTCTTCAACAGCTGGCGGGACCGGGACAAGGCTATCACCTTTTACAGGGTACAGTCCGAATAAAACACTGAGCACAAAGAATTGCTTGCAGCCGTCAACAAGACCATGAATTGTGCATCACTTGCAACCGCTATGTGCCCTGTCTCAATATCTAATTCTCAAAAGATATTGCACTAATGATGTTACAGCACAAATACGCCCACACGTTTTGCTCCTGTGTTAAAATGTTTTATTTGAAAGAAAACATATTATAATTAGAACTATATACAATACATGATACAAATATTTTAAAATATCTCATTACATTTACTTCCTGCTTTCCTGATCATGACATAAAAGTAGAAACTATTTAACTATATCTACACCTGTGCAAATGTTTTAGGCAGGTGTGGAAGAAATGCTGTTAAGTAAGAATGCTTTTAAAAATCTATTTTTGAAAGCATTCTGTCTAAAGACATGGTAATATTATTATTATATATATATGTATCAATTAACAAAATGCAAAGTGAGTGAACAGAAGAAAAATCTAATCAGTATTTGGTGTGACCACGCTTTGCCTTCAAACAGCATCAGTTCTTCTAGGTACACTTTCACAAAGTTTTTGAAGGAACTTGTTTGGTTGGCCGAAACATCTTGGAGAACTCCCCACAGTTCTTCTGTGGATTTAGGCAGCCTCAGCTGCTTCTCTCTCTTCATGTAATCCCAGACAGACTGGATGATGTTGAGATCAGGGCTCTGTGGGGGCCACACCATCACTTCCAGGACTCCTGGTTCTTCTTTAAGCTGAAGATCGTTCTTAATGACTTTCGCTGTGTGTTTGGACTCGTTGTCATGTTGAAGAAAAAATCTGAGGCCAATCAGATGCCACCCTGATGGTACAGCATGATGAATAATTATACATTCATGTGGTGTCGGAATAATCAAAAAAATTATCTCCTGACTGGGAAAATTCACATGAATACCCACTGAAGTTGGAACGTTGACTTCATACACGTAGAAACAAGGTTAACAACATGGTTGATGGTTAGAAATGTTAAAATAATGGTGTGAAATAATGTATTATAATGTGTCATTTATAATATGGTATTACGTTATAATGGTTAGTTTGCTGTCCTTGTAGAGTGAGGTAGATTGATTAGGTTCTAAAGTTATTTTTTAGCAGTATTTGCAGTGTAAGCAATATTTTAGTGGTTTCAGAAAATGTACAGGTGCAGTAATAACGCTGGGACAAAAACATTACTTTGTTATAGAAAGCTTCCACATTCCAACTTAAAGCACAGAACACAGTGAAGTTGGAAGAACGACTTCCCAACACAGGAAATGGGACCATCTGAGTATCATGTGAATGCAGCATTATAGCCAACCCGTTCTCACTCATCAGCTCGTCACAAATGGACGCATAGTCAAGACCCCTCGGCATCAGTTTGTAACGCAGTGGGGATCCCTAAAGCGTTGGGAGAAGCCCTGTAGTGTCAGCTTTTGACGGTTGGTATATCATATTTAACAGAAAAGACTGATAAAGAGGTGGTTGGGGGATGGAGAGCAACAACCCAACTGGAGTTCATGTCCTGTATGAAACAAAAAGTCAACATTAAATATTTTTATTTAAGTTATGCTACTTATGTAAATTATGTAAGGTACGCAAGTGAGGTAAGTTAACTTACGTGTTAACTGACCTAGTTATTTTCACCCAAACCATGATCTTTTCCTAACCTTAACCAATTAGTTTTGTTGCCTAAACCTAGCGATGTAATTTTTGAGCATTAGATGCAACATTTCACAACTTTAATAACGTTACGTTTCAAAATGGCGGTGTTTCGAAACGCTAGCATTTTATTTCGAAGGTCTAACCGGACATTACATATTTGTTGTTCCTAAGCGTTGACCACGGAGCTCTAAATGTCTAAAAACGCTAAAGTGTTAAAAAGCGACGCCAAAGGGCATTGACCAAGTGTCACGAGTCGGGAGTGTGTGCCTCTACTTTCCAGCATTAAAGAGACTCATTCTGACCAAATCCCCAACTCTATCTGCAGAAACGCAGCCCCAAATTTGCAAGAAACCTTCACTGTTCTCATTCTTGTACCGCTCTCCAGCCCTTCAGCAAACAAATGCCTTCGGCTGCAGCCAAATATTTCAGATTTTCAGATCAGTCCAGAGCACGTGTTGCCATTTTTCTGCACTCCAGTTTCTGTGTTTCTGTGCATAGTTGAGTTGTGTGTTTACATGTTGGAGGCTTTTTGGCTGCAAGTCTTTCATGCAGGCCACTTCTGACCAGACTTTCCCAGAAAGTAGATGGGTGTACCAGGGTCCCACTGTTTTCTGCAGCTCTGAGCTGATGGCACTGCTGGATATCTACCGATTGTTAAGGGAGGTAAGCATGTGTTGTCTTCCATCTGCTGCAGTAAGTTTCTGCGTCTACAGTCCTCAACGTTGCCCATTTCTTTGTGCTTCTCTATAAGAGCTTGGGCAGCACATCTGGAAACCCCTGCTGCCCTTTAACAATAAACCTACCTACTTACCTAAATGCCTGCCTGGGAGAGAGCTTGCTGATGCAGTATAACTACCTTGTGTCTTGTTGCTGTGCTCAGTCTTGCCCTGGTGTATGACTTAAACGGTAAACTGTCTTCAGCAGCCTCCCCTAGCTGAGTTTGACTATTCCTCACCCTGCTGGATTCCTCCCACACAGGTGTTTCTGTTTCACTTAATGATTGTGTTTCAATTTACATATTGAATTGGTGATCATTAGCACCTGTTTGGTATAATTGTTTAATCATGCGCATCATGATATGCCTACAAAGTCCCTGACTTTGTGCAAGTGTACCTAGAAGAATTGATGCAGTTTTGAAGGCAAAGGGTGTTCCCACCAAATATTGATTTCATTTAGATTTTTCTTCTGTTCATTCTCTCACTAAAACAATCTATCATCTAACATCAACTTTACAGCACTTTTTCATACCCGCCTTATGCACAGTACTGTATAAACTGCATATAAAATGTGTATATACGTGTGTGTGTGTGTGTGTGTGTGTGTGTGTGTGTGTGTATATATATATATATATATATATATATATATATATATATATATACATACAGTATGTGTGTATATATATATATATACAGTATGTATATATATGTATATATACAGTATGTATATATATATACAGTATGTATGTATATATATGTACAGTATGTATATATATACAGTATGTATATATATACATACTGTATATATACAGTATGTATGTGTATATGTATATATATATATATATATATACAGTATGTATGTGTGTATATATATATATATATATACACACATACATACTGTATATATATATGTGTGTGTGTGTCTTTGGTCCCATTGTCTTTGTACATTTCCCTACCTTGTGTGCTGTAACAGTGTTACTATTCTTGTTAAGAATGATAGTCAGAAAAAAGTAATACCCAAGTTGAGATAAACTGGAGTTATCTTTTAAGCCTATAATAATGTCCTGTGTATCTCTGTGTATTCCAACATGTAGGACCGTGCTCTGCCCATTGCAGTGAAGAGCAGCAGTGTTTGTTCCAGGCTAAGGTTATGTAATAAGCTGGCTGAATTGATGCTCAGTCTCAAGCTGTATGGGGAAGCTGTGGAGTTTGCACAGACTGCACTGGACATCAGTATCACTTTAGGTACGGAAGATCTCTAACACAAAGATTAGAATTTTCTGTTAGTTTCGGATTTTAATTTATGGTTGTTTATGCAAGAAATGGTTCAATTAGTGCCATCCACTTGATACAATTCTTGAAATACTGTAGATTACATGTTTATTGTACATCTAATACTCATCTGTAGAAAGACCTTCTGAGAATTATTAATAACAGTTCCACCGCAGCCACAGCCTGTTCACCCTGTGGCTGTCTGGCAAGCGAAACAGAATTATCTGCTGCAGTACCACCAGACTGCAGAGCAGCTTTTTCCCTCAGGCTGTGAGACTTCTCAACTCAACCTCCTCCTCCACACTCCATCATAGATAGATGACTTGAGCTTTCTGTAATGCTGGTTTTGCACATACCCATACCATTGCCTTTGTATAATACAACTGTATATATTGTAAGTATTTGTATACCACAACTGCCAACTTCCCTAATACAGACATTTCAGTCACTGAGCGACTCATAAAATTCAAAGTGAATAATGTTAAAAAGGGCAAACTTGCGGGAGGTAAAACATGAACTAAATACAAACCAAGTGAGATGATTTATTTTTCACTCAAATGGAATTTCTTCTCAGCAGCAGTGAGCTCAGCACACTGCTGGTCAGAAGCTGTATTACAAGCATAGACTGTATATAAAAAGATTACAACTAGGGCTGACCCCGACTAGTCAAGATTTGATGCTTCAGTGGGCGGAGCCTGATTCGACTGTAAATCTCACAGTCAAAGCTTCACAAGGATCATGCCATTTTGGCTTTATGTAAGGTGACCAGATTTCTGAAATGAAAACCGGGGACATTTTGGTGGTTTGGTGGTGGTCAGAATGTGATTCAAAAATATAATGTTATTATATATGAAATAAAGTGGGGACAATTGACAAAACTGTCAAATATAACACTTCTGAATGAAATCATGTATTTTTGAGACAGAATCTACCTTTCAATCAGTAGAGACTGCATTCACTTTCTGGCAAGTAGAATCCTGCATTTTATGTGTTGCTTTGGTCATTTAAAGGTATTTTAAGAGGTAAAAAAGTTATAGGTGAGTTACAATCGGTCAAATATAACCCTCATGAATATAATCAAGACCGGGGACTGTCCCCAGAAAACGGGGATGTCTGGTCACCCTAGCTTTATGGGGGTGCTCAATGTCTGATTTTACATAGAACTACCAGTTTTCTCCCAATAAGTTAATATACAGCCTATTACAATATACATTTCAACGTTTAATGCTGTAAATCAACATGTAAAAAGATAAAGGTTTTTAAAGTGCGTGAATAAATCCAAAATTGTAACCCAAACCCTGGGTCGTCAGTGCGCATGTGTAGGCGTATGTGTGCAGTGGCAGTGGAGGAACACTTGCTAAAGAGATGGAGCCCCAGCTTCACTGGTGTTGTGCCGTGTTGTCCACACCTCGTGGGCTTTTGGATAATTTATCACCGTTGATGAACCACACAAAGAATATTACCAGAATAGTCATCATCACCCATAGGCCCTGCCACTAATTTTTAACATACTGAACTTATAGATATCCTGACAGTTATAATTCATGTCATTAACAGTGTCTACCTTCGTGTTTGGTTGTACATACAGGTGAGCATCTGAATGAGCGAGTGGCTTACCACCGTCTGGCCTCTCTGTACCACTGTCTAGACCAGTATGAACTGGCTGAACACTATTACCTGAAGACCCTGACCCTCTGTCCAACACCTATGCTGTTTGATGAGGAAACACTGTACTATGTCAGGGTGTACCAGACACTGGGGGACATCATATTCTATGACCTGAAGGTAAGGGATTCAATAATAGTGTTAAGCTTCATTAATTCTTTGGACCCAAAAGCTGCAGATGCATCCCCCACCCTGAGCCCTGGGATATCATCATACCTAATAATGATTCCCCTCACATTTAATTGAATTTAAATGTTGAACATTATCTACATCAAACTATGATGGTGTAGCATTTTAGTTCTTATCTGGGTTTTTTCATTAGAGGACCGAGCTTTATTTTGTGATTTCTCCATCTGGCTTTGTTGATTCCCATGTCTCAAAAACTTTGTGTGAGCTCTAGGCATGTGTGAAAGAATGCGTGGAAATCCGCATATTTTTCCTGTCGTCCAGATCCAGACGTTTTGCCATTTAGGCCATTTTTTGTGCGTGTGCAGAAGTTGCCAACTATCTGCAGAGTCAATAGCTACAGACCTCCAAACGTCGTGTGGCCTTCAGATTAGCTCAAGAACAGTGCGTAGAGAGCTTCCTAGAATGGGTGTCCATGGTCGAGCAGCTGCATCCAAGCCTTACATCACCAAGTGCAATGCAAAGCGTCTGATGCAGAGGTGTAAAGCACGCTGCCACTGGATACTAGAGCAGTGGAGACGAGTTCTCTGGAGTGACGAATCACACTTTTCTGTCTGGCAATCCGATGGACGAGTCTGGTTTGGCGGTTGCGGAGAACGGTACTTGTCTGACTACACTGTGCCAAGTGTAAAGTTTGGTGGAGGGGGGATTATGGTGTGGGGTTGTTTTTCAGGGGTTGGGCTTGGCCCCTTAGTTCCTGTGAAATGAACTGTTGATGCTTCAGCATACCAAGACATTTTGGACAATTTCATGGTCCCAACTTTGTGGAAACGGTTTGGGGAAGGCCCCTTCTTGTTCAAACATGACTGTGAACCAGTGCACAAAGCAAGGTCCATAAAGACATGGATGATCAAGTTTGGTGTGGAGGGAACTTGACTGCCCTGCACAGAGTCCTGACCTCTACCCGATAAAACACCTTTGGGAGGAATTAGAGCGGAGACTGCAGGTGACCCAAAACTTTTGGCAATACAGAGGTAATGTCAGAGGTCGCACGCCTCCAGAGCAACTATGGGTTAAGAGTCTTGCTCAGTGACAAAGTGGTGGATGTGTCACTGTGGGAATTTAACCCGGATCTCTCACACCAGAGGCATGTGTCTTATCCTCTGCTCCATCACGACCCCGTCACAAAACATATTGCTTAAAACTTTGCCCACAAACAGCAGTGCTCTCAGATATTTTGCGCACAAGGTTTTAATGTGCTTTATGTGTTTCCCCAAGTGTGTACAGCGATTGTGGAACAGTTTTTCAAGTTGAAATGAGGGTTACGACAGTGTAATCAACTGCGCCCGCATGGTCCTAAAGCCTTCATTTAAGTTGATTATGTTATCAGTGGTTTTAATTGGAATTATTTTATTGATATGCTATAGTCTACAAATATTTGCGGAGGTCCAGACCTCGGTTACCTCATAGCTGGTTACAGCCATGTTTGGTAGCAGTGCTAGCCTACTATTTGATATAAACACAAGTCAGAACCTCTTGGTGCCTCAGCAGGGGGTAAAGTGACCTCTGCTGGTTGAGGTTCCACACTAACTAACTTAGCTAACTTCTATCCTACACATAACACTAGTTCACTTATCTCAATCTGAAATTACAGGTCACCGATGGTCTTACAAATGTTTTGTTCTCCCTAACAGCCAGAGTTATTGTTATATTAGTTTTTATTTTTAATAGAGTTATTTTTTACACCCAGTTTTAGTTTAGTTTTACAAAAGATTTTTTTAGTTTTAGTAAACTCTACCTTGCTAACTACACTGTACATTGGCTACTTTTATTTTGAATGTTTTAGCAGTTACTTACGCTTTCAAAAAAGGAATAGACCATGTGACTTCCATTCTTAGAAGATAAACATATCGAAGTTTACAGACCCTCTTCTTTTCTCTTTTCTTTTATTCAAAAAGGAATAATGATTAAAAAAAAGAACAGTTTTTATTGATTTGTTTTTTGATTGACACCAAAAACATTATTTTGTTTTTTATTTTGAAACAAATAACATATTAACTTTTTTTGAATTACACGAATTACTGATTATACCCTTTATATGGCTTTATAGCCATCTGTACCTGAACCTGCAACCTGAGCCCCCTCACCTTGAAATCAGGAACCTGTACCTGCCTGCAAAGTCAAGTGCCTTTAATTTATAAGTGCTGTCTGTCTGCACTTGGGTCCTTCCCCTGCAGCCTCACATTCAACTGCCTGACAGAACAAATATGGACCTAGTAGATGAAAAATTTTTTGCAGAATAACTAAATGAGGAGACTCATACCATTCATTCCAAAGGCCATCTCTTTGATTACAACTGCTTTCCAGCCATCTGAACCTGCAACTTAAACCTGTTCCTCACATTCAAAACTTCAGCCCATGTAGGGCTCACTCTCCACGATGAGAGCCACCCTGGTCCCTCTCGCCGTGACTCGTCATCTGAAAGATGCCCCTCCAGTGCTTTGCGGCCCAGGCTTCAGAGGACGCTGCAACAGTGTCTAACAGGATAGGATAGGATGAGAGGCTAGTACACCACTGCTCCCCTCAAAGTTATTCCGAACTGTGTTATCACGCCTTTCTACTGCTCATCGATATGACCCGAAGCTCCGTGTGGAGCCGGGATGTGTTCATGTGTGCACAAACAGTGATCAACACTGAGTTAGACTGCTGCTGGCACTGATTAATTGTTTTGACCCAGCAGCGGTGGGTTCTTGCAAATGGCACTTGGAGCAGTAGGAGGAGCCATAGGAACCTGATTTTGTTTTGTTTTTTTTAAAGATTATCTGTCTTGTGTACTACTTTCAGAATATACAGCTTTAGCAAATATGACAAGAAGTCATTTTTAAAAGAATTCCCTACTGCAGCTTTAATGTATTTATATTCATGTGAAGTGCCCCCTGTATTAGTATGAAATACAATGATGGGACTAAATTCTACTTTTTAAAAGTTTTTCTGTTATCTCTACAGGATCCATTTGACGCTGCAGGCTACTACCACCTAGCTTTGGCTGCAGCCATGGATTTGGGCAACAAGAGGTCTCAGCTACAGCTGTGCACTCGCCTTGCCACCATTTACCACAACTTCCTAATAGACAGGGAGCTCTCTCTCTTCTTTTACCAGAAGGCAAG